CCAGGTGCCGTCTTCTACGGCTTTCATAGAACTGTAGAAAGGATCAGGGCGACATGAAATGAAATTACGTCTTACTTCAATTTGGTCCGACACTATGAATGATGCAACGACGTGATGCGACGTGACATGATTGTTGCCAACCAATTTGCGTCTGAGATTTACTAGTCGAGACATTCTCATCGCCATTCCCTTCATTATCCTCGTCATCACTAGTGTCCTCAATGGTGTTCCTAATGGTTTCCTCATTGGCGTTCTCATTGACGTTATTACCAACTTCCAACATTGCCGATGGTTTATTCATTAGTGAACATTCAGCAAGATGGGGACACTCGTCCGAAATGCCTTCTAAGGTAAGGTAGTGTCAAAGAATGGCCCTTGAATACGGTAGTGGATGACGGAGGGATATCAAGGTAGTAGCACGCGGTGATACATGTATATCGGCGATGAACCGGTATGTTTTCTAGTCCTTCTTTCCGCGGTGGTTCTTGTACGGCCACTCTTTATATTAGCAGGTGTTGCTTAGGTCGAAGCACGTCGATAGGCGTCCGTGAAGCAAACCAGCGGCTAGTGTAGTCCGTTGTGCACGTTATGGAAAGTTATAGGCTTCAGTGTGGTCTCGTCTAACGCGGGGTCGGTTCTCTATACTTTGCGATTGAGCAAAGCGCTCTGGCGATTGAGCCTGATGACGGACAAGCTGGTAATAAGGGGTCCGGGAAGCTTCATATTGAGGTTGAATGTTTTAGCTGTGGACTTTCATCAGAGACGATTGCCTGGTGCATCGGATTGCTCAGAAAATCATGTTGTTTGACCTGTTCGTTTTGATATCGTCTCCCGCTTGTGGGTGTTAGGTTTGCCTGGACTACGTTCCCTTCAGAGGAGATGCGCTGTGAATGCATTCGTTTCTGGTGAGAAGCCGCGATGCAAGGTCCATACAGAGCAGCCCCAGTGCCTTTCCGTCGACCTTTCCATCAAAGGATATATCCCAGAACTATGATCAATTCAAATTTTGCCTTGCGAATTCGCTGACCCCGGGCGACGAATCATATTACACGCCTAGACGGATACTCTTTATCACAAAATCCGCCACAAATACCTTCAAGTACGACCAAGAATGAATGTGGGCTGGGCAGGACATCTCCCTTCTCTGGGATGGACATGCCGGTTTTCGAGCGTCCCGCAAGTCAAGCCATACACGCGCAGACAGAATTCAAAGATGCCCAAATGTGGCGGATCAGAAATCGCGTTCGGGCATTTGTAGCGGATGCAGGACTTGCTTACCGATTGGTTAAGACTAATGGAGGGAAGTGGTGGTGTGTAGGTAGACAAGTTGTCGACGTGGGCAGCGAACTGCTGGTCTACAATGACGAGGAGCTTGAAATTTTAGGCCCAGATGACTCTGGCGGCGACGCGGACGCGGAGCTTTTGATTTGACATCCGAATAACATCATGCCATAAACGGGGCCTCTCACGCGATTGAAGATGCTCGCACTTGCAGCGAAACCTGACAGTCTTGGCGAATATCCAGCTTTCCTTCATAGCCTCCTCTGCAGTAGTGAACTCGTCGTGATTCATCTCGCCTCAGAAGTTCCCACGTACGATATCCAACGAGGCTGTTCACGGGAACTCACAGGCTGGGAGGTCGGGAATGAAAACGGACGTGGAAAATAGCTGAGCCATTCCAAATTTAAGGGCTGTTTCCTGGGAATCGTAAGTCGAGAGTTCGAATCCCTCGGGAAATCGCTGTTAGCCTAGATCAGGGATAATGTGCTTGATGCTACCTATACAATTCCCAGTAACACCACTCCATGCCTCAGGCGACAGAGGAAGGTCCATAGGGACCAGCAATGCTTCCTCTGTCACCGACCACGAGTCGAGATGCTTGATCGGGTGACTGCCTCGGTGATGCTTCCGAGGCTTTTAGGCGGTGGTGTTTTGATTCATCATGTGGTCAACCAAACTTTTTTTTCTTTTAACTTCTTTCACAAAGGGAAGGTGCGAAACGCATCTCGGAGTGGTTGTACCTTAAATGGCGAAAATAGACAGCACAGATAGATCTAACAATGCAATATCTGCTTGAATCGATTGTCAACAGAAGAAGGCGCTATGTTCCAAGTAAATGTTTCTTACACCTCGTCCCAAATGTTTGTTGCATCGACGCCGTCTTATACCACAATGTGTTGCTCAAGTATTCCCCGCTCATCCGGAATATAGTGCTCTTCCACCTTAAGAAGCCAGCAAATGAGGAGATTTTATCTATTGTCATTGCCTCCCGTAGACTCTCGACGTATCTGAGCTCCATCAAAGACATGCCACATAGGATGGTGTGAAGTCGAAATAGAACTGACCAGGGCAGAGGCACGATGGCATGGAGTTCGATCGCCACAGTGGGGCTGACTGACCTCGCAGCCAATCACGTAATCGATAACCCCACCTTCTGCCAGTCCCAGTGTCACTACTACCTACCCTCATTCCTCATCCATACGACATCAGCATCAGGAATACCTAGTGTCTTGCCGATCTAATCTGATAGAAGGCTTTTCTTCTAGAAGTCTTTCATGAGGCTACAGGGCATCACCCGTTGATCTTACCTTGCCACCGACCATGTCGGGAACCCGCCAAGATGGCCTGCCGCACCTTCGACCAGTTCTTTGACCTTCCCGTCGAGATCCGGGACCAAATCATATCCTACCTCTGCGTACTCCCAAATCCAATCCAGATAGGTCCCACAGAATTCTCCGAGATCCCCTTCCCGCACGACCTGCTCCTCGCCCACCCGCTCCTCTACGCCGCCGGCTCCGCCCTCTTCTACGAACAGAACCGCTTCGTCCTCAACCTCCAAACGGGGCCCCGCGCCGCCGTCGAGCGCGCCATCTGCGAAGACGGCAGCCCCTGGCTTCTTGGTAATCCCCAGGCCCGCCGCCGCGTAAAGCACCTCGAGCTCTCGCCGGGCCGCCTGGGCAACGTCTTCCAGACCCACGTCTCCCCGGCCGTGGCCGATATGATCCTGAACGGCTCCCTGCGGCACCTCAGGCTCGTGCTGTATCCCACGAGCGCCGACAAGATTGTCTTCAATCAGAGTGCCGCCGACGCGCAGTCGCGGAGGGCCGCCATTACGCGGCGTGACGACGCTTTTGCCCACTCCAGGCCGTTTCAGGCTCTGTTGCGGCTGCTGGCTGATCCGGACTTGGAGACGGCTGATCTCTACGTTGACCCTATTCATCGCGACTTCTGGTGTGAATTCCACGAAGGCGTGGCGTGCTGTAAGGGGCAGCGGAAGGGGCCGTGGCAGCTCATTCCGATTGACTGGAGAAGGCTCGCCGCTAGTTACGGTCAGGATCACGAGCTCAGCATCGTTCGGGTGGTTGTTTGATTGCTCAGTGGCATTTTGGGAACCCTGTCTTCAAGGGTAAGACGGCTGGGATTGTTTTTAGTCATTCGGCTGCATCGGTATCACGCTGCAAGGCGTGAGTTGTATCAATTTGCTCTTCAGAGTTGTCAACAAGGATAAAACTCGTCCATCGACGCCTACATGATTAGGCGCCAACTTCCTTCAATAGAATGCAGTGCGACAACAATAGCTTGAAGCCATCTTGCTTCTAGTCCCTGGGTAAAGTCCAGGGGTTGTGCTTGCTAGAGCTTGCGTGATAAGTCATAGCAAACCGTCCTCGAGACCTCGATTCGACGGAGGTTCTGCCTTCGAGTATGGAGATGCGGCTGAGCACACGTATCCAGGGCCTAAAGTACACCAACGAAATGCAAGACTACCTTCAGGCAGTAATCAAAGAAAAGGCAAAAAAAAAAAACAGGAGCCGACTGAAAATTGAACGCAGGAGTCCTGAAGAGTACGGAGCATCACGCACTAGTCAGCACTTCACGGCTTTCACCACTCGGTCACTAGGCCCGATATTTATTATTAGAATGGCAAGGGAATACGTTGCCTCTAATGACTACGGCTTCGAATATTGAGATTGAGGGAGGACAAAAAAAAGAATAGGAAAGGGACCGGGGTATATACTCTCGAGGCAGGCAGGCAGGCACCATGGTGAGTTTCCTATCTAGACCGGTGTAAAATTGGGTCCTCCACGTGACGACGTCTGTTTTCTCACCACATCCCAATAGTCTGCAGAGCCCTCTTTCCATCTCTTGCTAGTTTTGAGCACTGAAGACGAGTGCTTTGGCTACCGAGAATTCGAAACTCTGTTGAGGATACTTCCACTCAGCAAATGCTTGCAAATAACCTCCCCATGGCCATAACAATTGCTGTCGAAGGATCTAAACAAGGAAATGGGGGAAAGATGTGTATCTTATTGATATCCATGACTGTCATTCACTAAGCTCAAGTTTGTGAAAAAGACCTCGACGCTGGTTTTTTGACATTAAGATGGTTGACTGCACCATGCTGTTGGGATACCAATATTGCAAAGGTAGAACGCCATGAGATGAGGTAATCTTATTCTCCAGTTTGCTTTGCGATCTTTGTGTCGTTGAGTTAGTAGACGGATGTTTCTATCCCATTGCAATCGTTCACATGCAGGATTCAAATCTCATCTGACAACGTTGCAGCCCCCAAGGCTTACCTACAGCTGCTTGACAAACGGAAGTAGCGCCTTACGGGCTATAGTAATGGCCCTCAGCGTGACGGGAATCCAGATGACGAAGCTCTGGAACCTATGTTGAATTATCAATTCGAACGAGGTGATGAATGAGCTCTATAATGAAGCACAATCAAGTTCTTAAGCAAGCTCTCGCATACGGTTTGACCTAGTATTTATTCTCTTAAACTTTGATCCGGGAATCTATTGACGCCACACGGAAGGCAGCCACGTCTGCGGCCGGAGGAATGTCGCCTGGTGGAAGAACGCTGGTTCTTCCCCATCGGAGAAACTCACTCGCCAGGGGATTCGGGAGACTTCCGCTACTGATTCTATACCATCAAGGACAGACACCTTGCCCTTCGCCTCTCTGAGAACCGCCCGTTGCCGAGGTTTATTCGCACCGGATCAAGCACATGAGGATGACGATTGAAGACTGACTGTATAACCCATTCGCCGTGTCGATTGGTCTGGGTGTAGTATAGTTAGGGCCAAGTCCCCTACTAGCGACACAAAACATTCTCCTGAGAGCACCCTCGTTTTCGAGAAGCCGAGCGGCGGTGTGTTGCTGGTCTCCTGCTGCGTGCAGTTCACCAAGGAAAGGTATGATATGCTAAGGAGAAGCATAAGACTGTTGACCACGCTGAGGTGGCACATACAACTGTTGTTGCCATAAAGTACCTCGATGGGGCACTACACACAAGAATTTGACAATCCAAACCCTTCTCTGTACATTGGTAACCCAGACGGTAAAATTGGTACATCAACTTCAGTGGATCCCAGGCTGCTATTTGGGAAAGCAGAACGCCTTTTGGATTTACTACCTTGAGTCTTGAATGTAGGCGCCGCGGTAGGCTAGCCACGAGTAATCTTTGCTACCCATACTCTGCCTAAAACCATCCCTGCTTCATCTTTCCGGCCCTGGCAGCGTTGATCAGTTCAAGTCGAGCGTAGCCAGACTGAATTCGCTGTCCTAGACACATGTGGTCTAGAGAGACGGCTTACGCATGCTCCAAGCGAGTTCACCGATGGCTCTGGCCCGGGCCCCGACCCCGGCATGACCCCGAGTGGGGCCGTGATATTTCCGGAGCGGCGTGTTTTGTCCATAGAATTAGCCACGGACCAATTCTTCCCCTTCCCCCGTCTCCAAAAACACCAGAAACCCCCCGACCCCAAATCCACAATCCCGTTGCCTCAGGTCTAAGAATGGCCCCCGAAACGAGGGAACGAGCCTCACGCCGTGTCCGAATGCTACGCTATCTCCTCCCCAAGACGGGAGGATCTTTACATAGAAACAAAGATCTCCCCCAATGCTCCCTCCCTAGGTAGTCATCAAGTCCACCCCCCTTTGTTGCGCCGCAAGGACCGTTTCGCAGAGGCCAGCGCATCCAAACCGCCAAGAAGATAGATTGCTTCAAAACCTTGTGGATCAGCAATACATCCCACCCCAAGAAAAAGGCCCCCCCCCCACGCCCTGGCTTTCTCGAGTCTCAGTGTCTGGGGACCCCCAATTGCCATTGTCGCTCGAACAATAAGTCAGCTTGGCGTGAAACCTCACGAATCGGCTGCTGTCCCGGGGGGCCTTCCAGTGGTTATAGCGCATTTTTGCCTGGCCATCGCGCTTCATCTTAGGTTCTCTGGTCGGCTATTACCGTACGGACGGACTATCGTGCACCTCGCTGTAAACGCTTGCTACTATTTCGATAAATCATCAGACAAGGAGGCACGGTAGACTTGGGACGACAAGCGGCCGGCATTGCACATCTTTCGTCCCGTCTAATCTTGGCGCGTGTCGGAGGGCCGGGCCCGGCCCGCCCGCCGCTCGAGTTTGCCTCCCACGCTGGCTTACCCCCCGACTGGTCAGGTACACTGCGAAAACCCCCCATTCTCGAGTTGCAAACTGTATGCTTTCTTTCACCCTCTCTGTGCGCCGTTCAAGGGGCACCTTGATAGGTACAGTCGTCAAGTCCCAGATAAGATGCCATATGCCAACGAGTACCAGCATATGTTTGGACAAGCAGGCAGGCAGGCAGGCAGGCTTACAACTCGTCTCATCGTCGTTTGTGACGTCAACAGAGGCTCAGATTGTATCATCCACGGACAATCCGTAGAGCTTCTCGCTCATCCCTTTCTCGCCTATGGTGGCCTCGGGTGCTAACCCTCTCAACTCGACTCAGTCGCGGGTTGTATCAAACCTGAAGCCCAAGGACTTTCCAGAAGCGGTAATTGCGAAGCAGGGTTGAAGGGCTCGGCAGGCCTGCCAAGGGCGGTCACATGCCAGATGCAAAGCCCCGTCGATCTTCCTTCTCGTCCCACCTAAACCTTTTCGCTTTCTTCATTTACCTGACGACGGTGACAGGTGACCAGCGTGTCGGAGATTGAGCAGAAGCCGACAAACAAAACATGCCAGTGAAATACGTGTGTGTGTGCAAAAGGGCAGATTGGGCGCGCATCCCAAACAATCTAGCCAAAATTGCCAGACTAGACAGGAAGCAAGGTAAACCCCAAGTCGGTCACGCAAGATAAGAGCTTGACTCGCAGACAGGCGAACTAGATATGACGTCCGCATAAGTGCCAGAGTCGTCTCCGAAACTCTCTCAGTTATCTTCTGGCACTCTTCAGCAGCAGGACCCTCCCCTCGGGAATTTCGCGAACCAAGTCCGAGTCTCTTGCGCGACTGCGATTAAACTCCAGGTGCTAGCAACCTCCCCCTTTCATAGAGAAACTCTAAGGTAGACTAGACTTTGATACAACCCTTCTCTACCCACGCCAAGTTTGCACGTCATGATTACCACCTACAACAACACCACCTTTATGGCACATTGTGAAAATTGAGAAGAATCACCAAGGAATCAAAGAGAAGGGGGAGAAAACTAGTCTGTGAAACTATCGAACCCGCTCAGCCTCGGCATAGACCAGGAAATCAACGCACCGTGACACCCCGGTCGTGATACCCAGTCTCTACCCCACGTGCGTCTCGTCGAAAGCAGATGTCTGTCTCTCTGTCTCCCCCGCCTCCCAGGAAATCGACCCTCGGTGCCCCCTCCCCCTCCATTCCACCCGCGCACTCTCGTCGTGGCAACGAGTCCAAGTAATCAAACAGGGCAGAGACTTGATAGCAACAACGTTTGCGTGCGTGGAATGACCAGCGAACGAACGAAAAACGCAAACGTTGCGCAAATCAAGGCAAAAACCGTGCCGGCTTACTCCAATCGAAACCATCACCCCACACCCTTTGAGAGGTCTCGCAAATCAAAGTGTGTGCCGATGAGCTGTCTCTCCCCAGACTTTCTGTCTTTGCACAATCAGCAATCATTTCCCCAATCCGCCAGCCCGGATTAACAAAACACGACGCGTTCTACTGGTTTCCACTTATCCCACCTTGGTCAGCGGGGGGTGGTCGGTTTAGCATGTCAGATCATTGCATGAAGAGTGGCCCACATCACAGAAGCTTGGTCTTTGCTCCCTTTCCCTCCCCTCTCTATTGCGCATTCCCATTCTTTCTCACTCTCTTCTCTGTCTGGAACTTGTAAGTGCGCGCAGAGATAGTCATGTTACAATGACTGTATTTCCAAGCAACCTCAAGGGAGCAGGGGAAGTCTCGGCGAGTTGGTGTCCCCCGACTTTGACAGCTCCAAGCCTCCTGGCCCTCTCTTCCCACCCCATGTCGCCCTCGCTCCTCAAAGTCCTTCCTCCTTCCCTTCCCTTGATCCGCGTAGCCCGGCAATGTGTAATGTACCTACTCGTAGGCTTCCCGAGAATGCGGCACGGCCAAAGACAGACTGAGGCGATGTGCCCACCACGCCACCAGTCGTCCCCTCAAATTTCTGTAGCCTGGGCTGCATGACGAAGTTTTTTTCTTCATCCGCTTGTTGCCGACTGTATGTTGTAAGAGAAGAGACCGGACCGGTCCAGTTCAGTGGCTTTTGGCAATCGTACCAGGCTCACATAATAGGACTTTCAGCACATGCGGGCATAGCGAATCATCACGTAATGATCTGTTTCCGTCAAAAACTCCAATTTAGTATTCTTTTCTTCTTCTTCTGTGTGAATTGGTCCCGTGTTCCGTCCCGTTTTCCCCAAGACTCTATAATCCTATGGGGGGTTGTGAAGTTGTTCCTCCCGGCCCAAGAGACAATCTGCCCTACTTTCTTCAGGTGTTGTACTCAACGATGTAAAAAACGAGAAAATGAAAAAAATGATCCAGCGCCTATTGCTCATCCTCCCAGAGCTCCCCTTAGCTCGTCTAATCGCTTGTTTTTGGGCACAAACTGCCTTGTTGGTTTCCTGCACCTTTGGTATCCAGACTTTGATGGCTTGATAGGATTTGGAAAAATCCTGAATATGGCTTGCTTTAATGATGTGGGGGAAAAAAAAAACAATTCAAGGAAGAAGAATCATCATCGTTGAAATGAGCGTCCTAGCCGAGAAGAGCAGGGTGCCAGTCAGACTTGTGCTCGTCGGGGTGCTCGCCGTAGTGAACGGGACCGAGCTTGAGGAACCGGAGGCCGTTGCTGCCGTCGCTGCTCATGCTCGAGGTGCGGCGTTTGAGGGGCGCCGGCTCGGTGGTGGTGGCGGTGACGGCAGCGGCGGCCTGCTGCTGCTGTCTGAAGGGGTAGGAGGACGAGGTGGTGGGGGCGAGGGAGAGGAAGACGGAGTTGTCGACGGGAGAAGACATTTTTTGTATATGTTGTTTTTTTTTGGGTTGTTGTTTTCTTTTGGTGCGGGTTCGGGTTGGTTGCGAGAGTTGGCAATCGGCGTGTGGGAGAACAGATCAACTGCTTTTAAAAGACACTGAGAGTTTTGGCGAGTAGAGTCGAGGAAGGATGAGAGCGTTGGGATACAGATGGGAAGAAAGGTAAGGGATGGGAGGGGAGGGCCGTCCAACTTTATAAGTTTGGATTGCACCGGAGGACACGGGAGGTGTGAGCCTGGCTGACCTGGTCGCAGACCACCACCCCTTCCACCCGGCCCACGGGCAAGACTTCAGAGGTAAGGTGACGGGTGACTTGCCGGGTCACACGGTGGATGCCGTCTCAAGCCGGGTTTGCTCACAAAAACAGAAAAAGGTTGATACTGGGGGTCCTCGGTCGCAGATGGAGAAGGGGGACAGGGAAGGGGGGGAACGGACGATGGACATGGAGGGAGGGAGGGGGAGGGGCAAGGTCACCGCATCGTATCGTATCGCACGCTGCCTATCGTGCACTACTCTTGTCAAGAAATGAGAAATTGTGTATGGCGCGCGTCGTACGCAGCAAAGGTGCATCTCCCGGATCGGCCGTGTGGGCAGAGGGCGACTGTGTTTGGACGACGCAGCAGGCGGTACAGAGACACACAGACCAGAGACATCATGTTACGGTAACGCCATGGTAAGAAGTCAGAGGAGGGCGTGATTGCGGCGGGCAATACGATAGTCACAGGTCCAGAACGAGCAGGCGTTGCACAAAATAGGAAATGCCGGGATCTGGCGTTCCTCGAAAGCCATGACACATGCACGGGCAAAAATGATGTGCTATTGTTATGTCCATACTCCGTACCCGTCGTCGTAGAGAGTTGCCTGAGACTCTTTGCGGTGGGTAGTAGAACAAGCTAGTAAGGTGCCATAAAGGGTACGAATCAATTAATTAGACCGAAGACTCTTGCGCGCGCCGTGGGTAGACCGGGATGGTGTTGTATTTTGATCTTCTCAAACAAAAAGCTCGTCCAGCCAAGAGATCTAAATTTTGATTTCCTACTCCGCAAGGTGTGTTTCTATGCGAATGGCTCCGCTTTCGACCTTATCGTGCTTGAATTGAGGTGTTCTGCAACAGATGGATGGGGGTTGGGCATCCGAGCGTCTCAACTCTCAGTCACTCCTCGGGGCGGCCATGGGGGGGCGTATTGTGACTTTGCTTCACGCATTTAGATCCAGAGAAGTTTCCTAAACCCGCCAAGAAGCATGAAATTTTCGGATTAGAGTCCTCGAGATAGTCCAGGTCCAGAGACAAGGAGGAACCAAATGAGACAAAAATAATAGGAAATACGGGCCTCCACAGGCTTTCTGCTGCGGTCGCTTCTGAAACCCTTATCAACCAAGTATCAAATCGGCCCTTGTTGGGGAGGGGGTTTTAATAATTATTTTGGTGGCTTTTTCTAGAAACTTGCATCCAGACCCAGAAGCTAGAGACATCCTGAAGCTTCCAGAGCGGGAACGTTGTTGCACGTGGACTTGTAATTGGCTGAGCTCCATGTCGCGACAGCAGCGCTGGAGAAGTTTGTGAGGTCTCTCTTGCCTTATCCGCAGCTGACGTGGGGTTGGTGCGCTTGAAAGCGAGAGAAAGAAAAAAAACAAAGCGAGACACCCGCCGCCGCGGCCGCCGCGAAAAAAGCAAACTCGCTGCGAATAAAATAAAAATAAGTAAAGAAAGGCGCAGGGGGTTGGTGCAGAGTGTGGGTACTCCAAAGTCGCGAGTGAGCGTGGGGAACATGGGAGGCGCGAAGGCTTGCCGCAACCTGCTCAAGATGACCAAGTTTCTGGTTGTGTTGTGAATGCCCTCGCCATCACCAGATCTGATATCGAGAACAATTGGAATATCCGGGGAAAGTGGAGAAAGCCTCGGTCGGCCCCAATTGAGGCTCTTTCCCAATTCTCCAACGTCGTTCGAAAATGGAATGGGAAAGTAAAAGAGGAAGCCGAAGGGGGCCAAGGTTCTTGCCCCGGGTCCCGGGGAGCGGGTGGCTCCTCATTGGCCGCGTCGGAGGCCGCAAGAGGATTTCTCGGAAGGGACCACGAGAACCGGCGCTGGGGCCTTCCCTCCTTCCCTACCTCTATCGCAAGACAACCCGACCACAAATTGCCCATCTCATGATCCGGGGAAAAGGAGCCAACGTCACTGCATGGATCCTTTCGGATGTGACGCCGAGGTGGGGGAAATTCGCGGGGGACGCCGGGGACGTTCAACGCCGTGACTTTCCTCATCCTTCCGCATCCGAGAACCTTCGGCAACACCCTCTCTCTCTCTCTCTCTCTCACTCTGTCACTCTCCCCCGCACATGGTTGGCAACAAGAATTGGATACCTCGTTTTCCTCTTGGGCCTCGGTACAAGGTATCCAAGCGTAGGTATCATACTCTGCCTGGCTCGCACTCGGCCGGGCACAGTCTGCGGCAAAGTGAACACAACACCCCGAGACTAGCCGGCCCGTCATCACCACCGTGCCGCTGGCTAGAACCCGCCCGTTGGTTCCTGCTGTGTCCCGGCGGGAGAGCACACACACACGCTGTGGCACGGCGCGGCGCGGCGCGAGAGCGCGGGCGCGGGCGGGTTCAGATCCTTCTGGCTTTGTCTTTGCTCCTTCAGCCATGTGCCATGTGGTGTGTGTAGTTCGTAGGATTTAACGAGCGTTTCGGGAGGGAAGAAGGCAAAATCCTGAGATCGCCATTGCTTGCATATTCTCTAGCAATAGCATTTTGATCCTTCCGCGGGGTGCAGTCCAACGAGTGAGTGTCTTGCTCATGATTTTGTGTTTTCCCCGCGATCAACGTTTGACTTCAAACGTTTCTTCTTGTGTTAGCCCTGATGGTGTTCTAATCCCGCCTGGGCAGACAGAGGCCTTTCAATGCAGAAGGCAAAGGAAGAGCAAAGAACAAAGCGAAAGGGAGAATGAGGCAAACGCCGGAGGAGAAGGGAGATACCATGGCATCCTGTCTTCTGGATGGTGAAGAGAAACGAGCTGAGAGGTTTTCGTACCTTTTACTCCTTGCCATCAAGGAACAGACACCGCCCCGTTTGACCCATTCGCTCGTCATGTTTGCCAGACTTTCTTTCGACAACAAGGAGGACAAACCCTGACGTATTTCAAACAAGACTTCTCTGGACAGTGCCTTGTTTTCTGCTGCCTTCAAACACAGCCCGGGTTTTGGAGACAAAGAATATGCTGACTTTGGGACCAGACTCTAGCGAGCATTCCTTAGGCAAACCTTTGCCTCGTTCCACCGTTCCCCCCTTCTCCTCGTCTCTCATCTCTCATCCGGGCCGAAGGGACTCTCATCCCCTCTTCCGCAAACGTGTTCTTTCCCTCCTCGACCGCAGCTCCAAAAGGCAAATCATTTCCCCAAGGGGCCCAATCCGTTGCTCGATATCTTTCTGTAATCTCGGAGGGGGTATTCCAACGGAGGTCGTCGTACCAGAGAAAGAGAGCCAGGGTTCCTTGAAGTCAACCGATACGACTCCGCTTCTCGATCGAGCTTCAAGCCAAGCTATCGAAGGCAGTTGGCGAAGAAGGGTTTCCAAGCCTGCCTCGCATGCGACCGGCGGGCCGCCCGCAGAATCCATCGTGAACCCTGGCATGGAGAGAGAGGTGATTGCGGTGCGTGAGGTAACACGACATGGGCTGTGGTGGTGTGCATGGCGTGTATGGCGTGTGAAAGAAGCGGTGATGGGGGGAAAGCATCGAGACGTTGCATGAGAAGACGAAGTGTTGCCACCAACACGAGAAGGCACCTCACTGCCTGCCTGCTGCTTCTGCTGCTGCTGCAACTCTTCCCCTCAAATCTTCGTCACAAATGCGCCGCAGTTTGGGTGATTCCAACTTGCATTAGTGGACACATGATGGGAAAGTTGCGTTTGGATGGCCAAAGTACTGTACGAAGAAAGGGACTTCGCGAGAATCGTTCCAGGGATGCGTAATGGCAGTCCAGCTTCCTTTCCGTTCCTAGAAGGTGTGTGGAAACCTTCGTCAGGGGGAGAGGCACATCCATCCGCGGGCTGTGATGAATGATATCCACCCTTGATCAGGGTTAGTACCATGTTGATGTGGTCTTGGTACGGATAGGGGGCAGGACAATCGAGGTAACTTACATCGGGATCAACGGCCCATAGAGCGAGTTTGACCGCTAGAACATCCGCAGTCCGTCTCCTACGGATACGTCCTTCCGCATATGCTTCATCAACGCTAGGAGCTGATGACTCCCGGTTGGTGACGGGCACCGACAAGGTGCAGATGTCATCTGGACCATGCCCGCATGCCCGGTCAAGACCTACGGATTCCTTGACCTTTCCTGATCTCCCCTCCATATTGTCCTGTCGAGGGGACTAACACCCAAGCACCCCTGTCGAGTGACCGCTTCCGAAGTATTGCGTTGCAACTTGACCATCTGCAGCAGTTACGCTTTCCACGTGAGATTCGCTGGCAATATTGGCAAGAAGTTGAAGAACGGTCGATTCTTGCGGCAAAAAGCGTGTAAGTCTGGACGAACGCTATTGAATTTGAGCCGCCGTCATGGGCGGCTACCGGAAGAATGAGTGGTCGTCAGTCAAGTCGGGCCAAGCCGCGAGTCCCACGAGGCGCTTATAACAGGGGGGTTCGTATTGGTGATTGGCTGGCATGCGACTCAATCACACCTCGCCCGCTTCGTCGACGGACAGTCCAACAACAACATCTGCGCCATGCTCGACTTCGCGGGGCATTCTGCTTATTTTCCCGCGATGAACCTGTTGGAACGGTCGACAATGGCGCCTGATGGTCCCGTCTTGATTTCATGCCGCGACAGTGTTCCAGTTGGTTGTGAATGGCGGCACCCGTAATCATAAACGAGCTCTGCCCAGCCGCCACCTGCATGCTCACTCGGACAGGGATGTTGGTACATCTTGTCGATACTCAACTCAATACCAGTCGTGAGTGAAGCCCTGCAAAAAGGATATGCAGATGTGTAATAATTCGCAAAAACACCCCTGTATCTGCTCTCCAAGTCCTAGAGAAGAAGTTGCGGAGCTCGACTGTGAAGTGATGGGATAACGTCTTGCCCTTTCCTGATGTGGTCAAGAACGTGAAAGATATGCGTGTCGATGGCACTCGGTTGTCAGGTCGTCCCGATGTCCGTCTCGTTGCCTGGTCATGACAAATGTATGCCCCCTTGTCCAAGAGAGCGCAAGCAGGGAGTATTTGAGTTGATGCAGAAATTCCTTCATTGAGATGTCAATTCACCTTTAGAATGCCCCGTAGCTAAGCAGACCTCAAGCCCGTCATCTAGATTACATAACAAACAAGTCTACCTACAGGGGCTGACTGGACAGGGTCTGGTCCGAATATGAGCCCGTTGGGCTGCGATGGGCTTTTGGAATTGAAGAGATCTCCTGGCCCAAGATGTCGTATTTCTAGGCGGGTATGGAAAGGGGGAACGAGGTCTGTTTCACCGCCATGAAATCGGTGTACCTAGCTGGACTGACCACTTGGCTTCCCACAAGTGACGTGCCCAAGGGGGAAGTTTTCTTGGCTCAAGAGGAGGACGGCAGTCCATCGAACATCGATGGAAGTGAGGCGACCGGGACCAAGGGGTGCGGTACCCCATTGTTCGGAATGATTGGCAGGCCAGATGGCCATGTGAGGTATGCTGCAGGCACAAGGAGTGTTGGGGTGTTCAAAGATGCTTGCCTAGTCAAACTGTCGGTAATGATAGGCCGCGCGCAAGGCCGCATGAAGACACTGTGGTGTGTTGGAGTCCCGTATGGTACAGTGGTAAGGTCCTAGCAAGCTGGGAACCCCAGCAATTGAACCAATACATCACCTTGACTGTGGGCCAGAGGGTCTTGCGGTGAAGCAGCTTCTTCTCAGGACTCGGACATAGATGACAGAGCCAGTGCTCCAGATACATGGTAGCCACGGGGTCGGGGTTACTCTTCATCAACGGTGGTTTGCCATGATGTTCGCCTCCAGACGACCATGGAGGAGACTAAGTGGACGAGCGCGCCCCCTCACCTCGGTTTGCCCGGGACGCAGGAGCAGGCATTAATGGTTCGATTTACGAGAAAGAGGGTGTGGCTTGCAGGCTCGAGGTACTTTGCCAGCTCGGACTTGGAGTTGAGAGGCGCCACCGTTGCGACTATTTCGCATTGTGCCTTAGGTTGCGACGCCGTTGACGATGAGGTGCTGTTGCATCAGCACGCCACGCCGATGAAGATCCCTTGACATTTTCCGAAAGGCGCAGAAGACGGGAGAGTGACGAGGTATGATGGTGTGTATGATTCTGACAAGCCCCGTTTGGCATACGGGGCCGTTGGCATCGGAGACGGAGTGAAGACTGCTCGAATAGCCGTCCAGCTCTACAGTAGGCTTGCCATCAACAGGCTGAGCGGGCAGTCGACACTGTACCAACGGCCGTATTATAGTGGCTAGCTCCAATTCGGCAGGGTCTTTAAAGAGATTCAGACCGGAAGAACACTGAAGGATAAGTCGAGGCAGCTTAGCCTAGGGAGAGGGAGTTGGTTAATCTAGCATACGGACGTATGTCGAGGTGCACTAAAATAGTGCGTAGCTAATCCGACTAGCTGGAGACGTTGGCGCGATGACCTCAACTATATGGTATAGTCATTCATCTCAAAAAGGCTAAGTTGCTACCTAGTCCTCCTCATTCGATGGTGGCTTGCATTCTCTAACGCAAGAAACCTACACATTTCTCAACCGCCTCAAACACAAAGAGAAAAGGACAGTATACGTACCTTTTTTCTTTTCGCCAAATTCAACGACAAGCCGTCGAGTAGAAGCTGGAGATGAAGGGGGAATTGAACATGAGTGAGTAAAGGGATAGAGAGGTAAGGGGGAAACGAGGGCGACATAGGGACGCAAAGCATAGACGTGGAGCACATTGTGTTGGCATCGTCTGACGGCAACAATGGAAAAGGCGGAGACTGGTTTGCTTCCGTGCCAATATTCGAAGTGGAATACTTTGCCGTTGGGAACTTGTACGAACCATTCCAAATGGCAAGATGGGATGTTTGATGGCAGTTTGAAAAAGACGGCCAACGAAATCACTGTGGTTGGTGATGAGAAAGGAAGTGGCAGGCGAGATGACAGGGACGAGCAGCAACATTCGGGAGATGCAGGGAAGGAAGAAGCAGAGCAGAGCAGAGCAGCAAAAGAGTGCTCAAGGAAGAAAAGAGGGAGAAAAAATTCAACAAAATCACATCGAGGTCATTTCACAAATGCAGTTGCCCAGATCTGTCACTTGCTTCCTTGTCCACTCGGTCAGTTCCCACCAACACCGAACCAACGGCTCATGCAGTTTTCGCACTGTCCTCTCACCGTACTTTACAGCATATCTTACAGTGCGTAGCCTGTCCCGAATTGGCAACTTCATTTCGCCTGCTTTACTCCGTTCTGCTCCCGTCTACGGATACTCCTCCATTCTCTCTCTCTCTCCCACACTAACGGCAACACCACACATCCCAACCCAACCCACCGCTACCTAGTTCATCAACTCAACCCGGTCAGTGGTTTCTCATTCCTTGCCAGCCACAGCCCAGGAAACGCCATGTGCCCCCCGATCAAGCCATCGGGCTCTTTCGGACACTGTCGCTGGCCACGTTTATGGCCGGCTTAGCTTCCTCGGGCCCTGACGGCGGGCATGCCCTCCCTCTCTGCATCTCATCTGCGCAAGGTCAAGGTTTCTCCTTTTTGAAAGCATCGCGCTTCGGGTTTGCACTCGCCTCGCCCTCGCCGTCCTTGGCTACAAGGAAACCTCCCGACACCTTCAGACGGGCACTTCACATCCTTCGCCCCTGCACTCTCACATCACACCGTGAGCACCCCAACGGACAAGTCTGGCGACCCCAACCGAGCCGAGTTTCGCCCGCTCTTAGCCTCAGCCGGCCCATATTTGAACCTCATTAGGCTGTCCTGGTCTTGGCCATAGATCTATGTGGCGCATTCTGTCCTCCGCAAGGAACAACAAGAACATGGACCGATGAGGGACGTGACGACCTTTCCTCTTGGCATCTTCTTCTTGCAAGAGCCACGCCTCAGATGTCGACTCCACTCTTTTATGTGAACCCCTGGTCAATCGTGGCATTCGCTCTACTACTGTCACTATGACCTGTCCCAGCGCCCGTTCTCATCTAGGGAACTGTCCTGTTTTCACAATTCTGCTGTCTTCAATTCGTCACGAACATGATGGACCGTCTAGGGTTTAGTACGAGACGACGGATACGTCTAGGTGGAAAGGCGTCCCGCCGCCGAACTACCTTTATTACTCCACGTGGACTCAGTTTCGCCTCAGGAACCCTATGCCTATCCCGGGACCTAAACTTGGACGCGGAATTGGACCTGGACCCAGGCCTGAACATGGACTCGGCTGGAGCAGGGTTGGCAATCTGGTCAGGGACATTGATGCGGATATCGATGAATACGTCGACCGGCAGCTCGATCGACCATTCTACTGACACCTTTTGTCTCTGCTTCTTTGATCCAAATTGAAATGTAGCCAGACGGGGTCATAATCAAGTACTTCGTTTGAAAGCGGCCGCTGTTCTACTGTAACTTCCTCATGCCGCTGTCGTATGGCTGTCTGTCCCAGTAGCATGCTTGCTTTGACCCCCAACTTGCACTCTCCGCCGTTCCAACTCGGAGCGGAGGAGCATCTCAGTGCCTCTACGCCTGCCTGTGGTGCGGTTCCATCATTGAATTGGATGCTCGTGTCTGGACAAGCTGATGTTCAATCTAACGTCTTCCTTGCGGTAGCATTGCCCCCTGTGGGTTGGAGTAACTCCGGCAGGGAGAGTTAAATCCGCGAGCGATCTAACGGTACCTGTTCGCCCTTATGATCAGGACAAGGTGCCTAGAGAATCGGCAGCGCATTATGGATAGATGGGAAATACCTTAGCTTTGGCGGACACAAAGGGCGCCATCAACGGAACGGTCTTGCCCAAACTAGACTAATAAACAGGGCTTGACGCGGATCGCTCATGTGCGACATCGTCTGAACGATCCACTCAACACAGCGGCTCATCTCTACGCTTGACAGTGAAGTCGGCTTGGGACGCACTAGGAACTAACTGTCCACGAGGGGTCTCCCGACACCATCAGGTCGAGGACAATCACAACTCAAGACAGGGACATGGGTCACCCATTCTTCGTAGGCACTTATGCTTGCCCTACCTCACGCTGAGGGGAGTGACCATACGGCACGGCGCCAGTAGGCCCTGCACAGAGCTCAGTGCTGGTTGCTGCTGCTACTGCTGATGCTGCCACGCCAAGCTATCCCTGGTCCAAGTGGCCGATGTTCTGTGTTCCCACGATCCCCAATAGAAAGTGCGGCCAGTGGGTGCCATGCGACAATGGGAACACACGAGAGGTGCACCTACCTGCCCTACCCTGCCCCGAATACCCGTCACCAGTCAGTCATTGAACCGGGCGGGGCGGCTGAGGACATGCGTCTTCCATCTTTCTCTTTCTCTGTCTCTCTCTCTCCTACACACACTTTCTCGCTTCCTCTTTCTTCCTCTTCCAACCTCTCCAGAAACTACATTTGGATGACATTGTCATGCCTTGGCAGCCCACCACAAAAGACTCTTGAAGAACCACCTGCCAGACGTTGAGCCGGCTCAGTAACGTAGTCGTCGAAACCAACATCTTGGGTCACGCGTTGCCCATACAGCACTCGAGACGGAACACCAGAAAAACGAGACATTGCGTCAACAGACCCAACTTTGGCTGGGCTGCGCCTCTGAGGTGCATATTGGGGGCTCTTTCGTTCTAAGTGGATATCACGTCCAACAACACCCATTGTCTTCCAGAAAGGCCGCCTGCGTGATATCCTGGTCTTACCAACACAACAAGGCGGGACAGTACCCGGCTATCACGTCTCATTTCGAACTAGCGTACGACTTATCAAAAGGGCAAAAAGACAGGCCAGAATCTTTCACCCAGTCGACCAACCATTGCACCGTTGTGCGTTGGAAGTACACGGGTGCTTGTTAGCCCTGTGCGGGAGAGCCAACGGCCTGAGCTGAGTCGGATTAGGCTGGTTTCTCCACGGCCGCCAAAGCATCTCCACAACCAGGCAGCTTGTCGACCACCTCCTGCAAAGGGGCGGATCAAACAACCCATCTGCCCGGTCCGCACCCGCAGCCAGCATCTCTCCCAGGTACATCGACTTGCAAGGTACAAGCCATTTTCACGACCCGTTGCATCTTCCACATTACTTCCCTCCACCAAGTTACAGCCCTCCCTTGCGTCAACTTGAAGACTTGCCAGACAGACGCTTGACGCACCACTATCTCCCGACTGGCATCTTCCAACACCAGAACAGAGAAACTTTGACGCGTTGGCGAGCAACCAACAGCCAAGCTGCGTCTACTTACATTTGGCATCACCGGTGTGATAGCTACCTGTTGGTCCTCCTTCGCTTGACTGGCAGATTTGACGATGGCAAACAAGTCAGCCCACTCCCGACAGTCGATTTCAAGCCAATAGCCAGTCTTGAGCTTGTGTCACGACGATATATAAGACAGACGACATATCCTGACTCGAGCTTCCAAACAATACACTCTTCATCCAGCCAGAACAACAACTATACAACATACGAGACCATCCCTCTTACCAGTCACCTCTAAGAAACCAGTCTTTCGTCTAGCTTTTTTATTGCAAGACGAGTCTTCGCCCGTCACTATCGAGCTTTACACGCAGAAAAATCAAAGCCTCACTTAGAAGCCCACCGCTCGCGGCCTAAGAGACCTTCTCACAACAGCTTCGACTCTTCTTCTCTTTCTTCTCCCTCCTCCTCTTTTTTTCACGGAGAAGATTCCTTCTCTAGCCAAAATGTGCTCCAGAGTTATCATCACATGGGGTTGTGGCTGCACCGAGACACGGCCTGTATATGCGTGCAGCTCTCACGGCCATTGCGGAGGTGTCGTAGACAAGCCGCAAAGCCAAGATGGCACTTGCTTCAACTGCCAGAAGCAAGGGAAATCGTAGGTCCGTTACAGACTCATCACTCGGTGAGATGCCAACTAACGGTCTCTTGGGCATTAGATTCGACGACGGCCTAAAAGTAGACATAAAGCCGAGGGAAAGAAGACTATGAAGAGCTTCTTTCTACCGGACTCGACCATATTTTGAGGCTCACGCCTGCCGTTCCGCTTCTCTTCTGTGGCATTATCATTGCCAACGACTCCAGCAGAATAGAGCTTTGAGAGACACCATGATCTGTTTCTATTATTCCGTTCATCAGTACGCTGGTTTATTCATCAACCTTTTTTTTTTTATTTCCTTCTTAGCAACCAACGATGATGGAGTATCGCATGCGGATTTTTCTAGACTGCGTAAAGCAGCAACCCAGTTCGCAAGGTCGGGCATCTCGACTCTCACGAACACTCTCCCTGTCAATAGCTCCTCATTGTGGAGATATCAATTCAATCATTTAAACTCTAATCCGCGTGCTTTGCAAGTCGCTACCTGCCTTAGATATGCAAAACCAATGTCGGTGATTTGACTGTCCATGTTATGCAAGATACGGGAAAAAGAATTTTCACTGCCAGACAGCTTGAGAAAGCAAATTGGCAGGGCAGGCTCAGAATTTTTCTTGTGTCCCCTGTCATAGTCAAGCCACATTCGCGGGACACTTGCATTTGATGTCGGGCCGCACTCAAGCATCCCGTTTTATTCTTCTGTCCCGTTTTATTCTTCTGTCCCGTTTTGTTCTTCTGTTCTAACAATGCCTCTTGGACCCCGAGAGATGGTTTCAAAATGGGGCTGGGGCGGCAAGAGAGAACATCAGCATGCGACCGAAAGTTTGGCCTACTGGACACTTGACTACCAAACCTGTCAAAAGAAGAAAAAAAAAATGGACAATGTGGCACGGCAGTGAACA